CTATCTCCTGAAAGCGCACTCTTCAGGGATTTCAGCATCCGCAGATTGCGGCAGCTCTTTTCACCGATTTTCCTGGGTCAAACAAAGAGGCCCAAAGATAAAAAATTAGAAGCTGAGTGGCTGAGTTCTTCAATGCATTAGTTGTAGAAGATCACGTCCATTCCCTCACGATGAACATTAGCATGTCCTCACCTGGAACTCGCATGTACTCGCCAGGAATAGAGTCACGAAGAAGCATGCGGAGGCACAAGCAGGACGCGTCTCATCTCTTACTGTAGACTATATATTCTCACTTTCTCCAGCATTGCTTGCGCAGCCCCAACGCCGAGAAGACCTGAAAGCAGAGGCTTGGAAGGGATGCTGTTTGCAGCCGCTTTCGCTGAAAACGGAGTTTGGCTGAGATTGCTGAGTGTATATAACTTTTCTATTTTTAGTTATATATAGTGCATGAGAGCTACGTGGATGACCACAATCAAGAAACGTCTATATAAGGGCACAGAGAAACCTCTCTAGCCATTAGGCTCAAAGATTTTTCTTACTCCTCCTCGAGTGATCTTGGACTGTCGACCCAATGGCACGTGCCTCCAAAGTCGCAGTGGGCTCCGTCCTTGGAGCTGCTTCTCTTGGAGCCTTCGTGGCCCCAGGAAGCCATCAAGTCGCTGTTGAACCACGGGTCGCTCGGGTTTGTTTGGAAAGAACCTTTCAGATCCTTTTTTCCACCGGGCCCACCGTGACATCCATGTCATTCCATTTCCAAGCAACTGTTCCAGGTAGTTTGAACAAATGAGGTCGCCACTGCAAGCCAACAGTTCTTGTCCTCCAATGCGTCCAGCTCGGGAGCAAGCTCAGGGCTCAGTGGTGCGCTGGCCTTGGGAGGCTTGAGCGTGGCTGGCGTTGCAGCGGCTTCCAAGCGCAAGGGGATCAAGCCAAGGGCATCTCAGAATCCTGCGATTGCTTAAGAGGATTTTCAGGACACCCACCTAATAGATTCCTCTTCTTTTGCATCCTGCAGTGGGAACGCAAGATCTCATGCACAGGGATTCCACATGGACAATCATCATATTTTTTCTAGAAACTGTTCCTCCAAGGAATGTGGTCGCTTGCAAGGGTTTGGCCAAGATGAAGATCGATGAGGTCGATCTGAAGGGCCAGCGGGTCTTCATCCGCGTGGATTTCAACGTGCCCCAGGACAAGAAGGATCCCAACATCATCACCAACACCGCGCGAATCGACGCCGCACTCCCAACCATCAAGTATGCCTTGGACAATGGGGCCAAGTCTGTGGTGTTGTGCTCTCACCTGGGCCGTCCTGATGGTCAGAAGAACGAGAAGTTCTCGATGAAGCCCGTTGCCAAGGTGGTCGAAGAGAAACTTGGAAAGCCTGTGAAGCTCATGGACGATGTGGTTGGTGCAGATGTCGAAGCTGCATGCGCTGATCCAGAGCCAGGCACCATCATTTTGTTGGAGAACTCGCGCTTCTATGTGGAGGAAGAAGGCAAGGGCAAGGATGCTGAGGGCAACAAGGTGAAGGCTGATCCTGAAAAAGTGAAGGAGTTCCGTGCCTCCTTGGCCAAGCTGGCTGACATCTACTGCAGCGATGCGTTCGGCACCGCTCACCGAGCTCACAGCTCCATGGTGGGTGAGGGCTTCCCAGTGAAATGCTCTGGTTTCCTGCTGGCCAAGGAGTTGGACTACTTTGCCAAGGTCGTTGACTCTCCCACCAGGCCTGTTTGTGGCATCCTGGGCGGAGCAAAGGTGGCCGACAAGATTCAGCTCATCATGAACTTGCTCGACAAGGTGGACATCATGATCATCGGCGGTGGAATGGCTTTCACATTCATCAAGGAGGCTGGCGTTGAGATTGGGGCCTCCTTGTATGATGAGGAGGGAGCCAAGTTGGTGCCCGAAATCAAGAAGAAGGCTGAGGAGAAGGGTGTTGAGCTGATCCTCCCTGTGGACTTTGTGTGCTCCTCCAAGTTCGGTGAGGATGGAGAAATTCAGGACGGTGGGTCAAAAACGTGGTTTCGAAAAGCTATGATTCGGAAACGATGTTCCGACGTTGACTCGTTCTTTTTTGGATTTCTTCCAGAAATGTGCTTCGGAAGCTGGATGCCTTTCGGACACTTAGCTTCTTTCTGCTCAATTTGTGCGGAGCCCTTCATTAGTTCAGTGCATGGTTCAAATAGCCTTAAACTTAAAAGACAAACACACCCCGACACGCATCAGCACAAGTGAATTTGCCAAGGCTAACACCGCCGACCATCTAAGAAAATCCTTGCCATCCCCCACCCCAATATAATCACGTTGTGTAACTGATGACGATAGAGGCGAATCAGTTGCAGAGGCGATGACATGTGATGACAGTGTGATGACGATATCGTCGTAGCAGTAGCAGGACCATGTTATGTAGTGAGCGGATGGTTTCTGAGGCGCTGTTTTGTGAAACTAGGTTGTTAAGGCGGGATGTGGCATCTGACCAAATAGGTGGAAGTTTCCTAAACAACGATGCAAGCCGGACTTTGTTCAGGATGGTGACATGGAGACTGGTGTGCCTGAGGGCTTTTTGGGTTTGGACATCGGCCCCAAGTCCATTGCCATGAACGATGAGGCCATCAAGAAGTCCAAGACCATTGTGTCTCTTCAGCAGTCAGAAACAATATATATATATATTAACTATTCCTTGGGCCGAGCCATACTTTGGAAGGTTCGTACGCTTCAAGAGCCTACCGATACTGATACTCGCACATCCTCGTATTGTAGATGCTCCCTGCCAAGCGTCTCCCACTTTTGACCATTCCAAGGTGTGGAATGGTCCCATGGGCGTCTTTGAGATGAAAGCCTTCGAGAAGGGCACCAAGCAGATGATGCCCAGATTGAAAACCCTGGAGTGTTGTTATGCTTTGACATAAACCCTCGAGAAACCTTTCGCAAAAGCACCTCCTACAGACTACAGACAACATGATACAACACCTTTATGTAGGCAAGTTCGCTTTCGGAACGGGTACCTAGTGAGTGCCCGTCAGACCCCAGACCACGCAAAAAGACATGGCTTACATGTCGGACAGCTATGAGCCTCTGAGTCAGGTGCTTTGTGTGAACCCTGCTACCCTCTCTGGGTGCGTGAACGTTTTCACCGAACGTTTGCACCGACCCAGGATGAAAACCATCGTTGAGGTCACCAAGGAGGGCGCTGTGTCCGTGATCGGCGGCGGCGACACAGCCACAGCCTGCAAGGTCTACGACACGGTTGACAAGGTCTCCCATTGCAGCACCGGTGGAGGGGCTTCCTTGGAGCTCTTGGAAGGCAAGGTGCTGCCTGGAGTGGCTGCCTTGGATGACTCAAAGGCTCTTGCAGATGCATAGAGACAGCATGCACCTATCTCCTGAAAGCGCACTCTTCAGGGATTTCAGCATCCGCAGATTGCGGCAGCTCTTTTCACCGATTTTCCTGGGTCAAACAAAGAGGCCCAAAGATAAAAAATTAGAAGCTGAGTGGCTGAGTTCTTCAATGCATTAGTTGTAGAAGATCACGTCCATTCCCTCACGATGAACATTAGCATGTCCTCACCTGGAACTCGCATGTACTCGCCAGGAATAGAGTCACGAAGAAGCATGCGGAGGCACAAGCAGGACGCGTCTCATCTCTTACTGTAGACTAT